TTTTTTTTTTTTTTTAGCTAAAGTGACTGTGGAGCAGTAGATAAGGCACTCTTTTATTTACTTAATTACGTTTTCAGCACACCCCTTCATGTACTACCTTATTATTTTCAAGAGGCCAAGTAAGTGGAATAATTTTACTGAAGGGTGACAGTGAAATTTGAACTCCACTTATTGTCATATCATGTTGAAATAGGGTGAACTGCCTCGTCTAAAAGCTTAAGTTGATAGAGATGATACACTTTGGTTACTTAATTATGTACAAAGTATGTTGAACTTAGATTGCATCTTCGCTAGTTAAATTGGACGTGGTTATCCAGAACGCCTCTTTTTAACATCCTTGGTTTTCTTTAATTTTCTGATGTATGGAGTGAGAATTGGAAAATTCTATCAGGATGGGTATGAAATTTTGCTCTGCACTCTATGTAACATGGATTTGGATAGTGATTTATGAAATACAAAAAGATGTTAAAGTCTATTCATGCAAGACAAATGAAGAGAGTGTTTCAGTGTGAATGAGACAAGTGAGGTTACCCAATGGCAAGAGCAGTCCTGAGGGGGGTGGCTTGGGTTTACATAAAAAAGAAGAATGTTAACAATGCAATAGATGTATGGTTGTCCTTGCTTTTTGTGGTGAATGGTAACATATTACAGAAGAAGAAGAAGAAGAAACAGAAATAAAAAGCTTTGAAAATAGCAACTTCATCATGAAATACTGCTCTTGCTGCATATGTATAGAAGTGAGGCCAATGAGTGCCTAAAAATTAAAGGTTAAACCTCGGGTATAAACATCTTATGAATCATTTCTTACACTACTGCAGTAAAGAACTTTTTCAGTTAGGGACATACACGAGCGGTTGCACTGATGCTTTTCCAATCTCTCCTTCACTTTTCTCATGTTACGTGAGAGACTGTTATGCTTTTTCTTTTTCTTTTTTATTCTTTTCTGAATGGTGCTTCCTTTGAATAAACTGGTAAGTGATATCTCAGTTCTCACCACATTTGTCAATTTCAGGGTTATATTGTCCTCAATAGGCCATGGGCTTTTGTTCAGTGGCTTCAACAAGCACAAATTGAAGAAGAGTACGGAAACGCACTCATAAAAATTTAACTCAAAATAGCACAACTTTCTTGTTAGTTCCTTGGAATATTTACTCATTAGTAACTCTTATGTGCAGCTACATATTGATGGCAGAACCAGATCATGTTATCGTCAAGCCCATCCCGAACCTATCAATGGATGGCCTTGGAGCGGCATTCCCTTTCTTTTATATAGAACCCAAAAAGTATGAGTCTGTACTGAGAAAGTTCTACCCTGAAGAACAGGGACCTATAACTGACATTGATCCCATTGGGAACTCCCCTGTCATTGTTGGGAAGGTACTAGATTATTTTGTACAAGTTATAGTTAGTTAGTTCTCAGTTTTGCGTTTCTAAATGGGAATTTCCTTTTTCCCTTTTTCTGCGGGATGATAATAGGAAGCTTTGAAGAAGATAGCTCCGACATGGATGAATGTTTCTTTGGCGATGAAAAAGGATCCTGAAGCAGACAAAGCATTTGGTTGGGTTCTTGAGATGTAATCAGCCCACCTCTAATTACTGTTATGTTTTATCAATACAACACAAATGCCCTTGTTACTGAAAAATCCATATGCAGGTATGCCTATGCAGTTTCGTCTGCTTTGCATAATGTTGGTAACATATTGCACAAGGAATTCATGATTCAGGTATGATCCTTTGCTTTATTTGAGAGGTTGATATTTTACTTGTTCCTTTTTCTTTCCAAGGCAAAGCAGAGATAAAAAAGATTTGTTGTCGCCCATTTGAAAAAGAAACCGTTTCAATGGGGGAACTTCTTATGTTAGAAATGCTCAATGCCCACACTAACTATTCAGATCATATGGTGTGTGCGATACTTGCTAATGAAAAACCAACTGAATGGGCTCTGGCTTCATCGATCAGTATACACCAGTTCCATCTTATTTGGGGTGCCTTCCTAAGATTTTTCTTTGTATATCGTGTGTTAAGCTCTTGCTTATAGCACCGAAATTTTTTGGATGTAAACATGGGCCAATGCAATCTGAGAAAAGGCTATCAAAGTATCCCAGTCTACAATAAACCATTAGTTTACTTTTAAAAAATACAATAAAAGCAAAGATTTGATGTTTGTATTTTGTGTGCCGTCATGGGCGTTTAGAATTTCTCCAGTGAGATGCTTTATCTCCCTTTAGAGATAGAGCGACATATTATATGCATAATTATAAATGTCGGTAAAACATTATACCTTTTACAGATCCAGGCTTAACCATTTTTGTTTGTTTCTTCACGGGAAAACTGGAAAACTCTTATTGTCTGTATAATTTGATTCTACGACTGAAATGTGTTTAAAGGGACATGAGTTGTAATTTGAAGGGTAATGTAAATCTTGTGCAAAGTAACAATTTCCTGGAGCTTTTGCCTTTTCCTCCTCCTAATTTTCCTACTATTTTAAAAGTTTTCACTGCTTTGAGCATATTGAAGTAGTACAGCTCTCCTCCTTTACTTTCTGATTCCTTCTTCCGTTCCATATGTGCATCTGCTGTTACAGTAAGATTTATCCCAGACAGACCTGATATCATTCCTTTCTTCTCCTTTTATCGGTGCTCATAGCGGCATCTCGAGCTTGTAGTGATTTTGTTTGTGGGTTGAAAATTCATTGCATTATATCTTCCTTATGAACATGACCTGTAACCTAATCCTTCATATATTGTTGAATTATTCCAGCCTCCTTGGGATACTGAAATCGGCAAAGCGTACATAATTCATTACACATATGGATGTGACTATGATATGAAGGTAGCTGCAACTTCCTTTGACTATGATTATGCCAATTTGTAATAAACATAATGATGTGAACAACATGCTTTCCAGGGAAAGATGACCTATGGAAAAATTGGAGAGTGGAGATTTGACAAAAGATCATATGATAATAAGTGGCCTCCAAGGAACCTTTCTCTTCCTCCACCTGGTGTCCCAGGGAGCGTGGTATGTTTATCTGTCTTTGTAATCCCCATAACAGGAATGGTTCTAGGAATATAGTTGAGGATTTTGTTTTATCAAATTATAGATCTAATAATTAAAATAAGAAGTTGTATGCTACTGCGAACTTTCTCTCCCGCTCGTAGCGCTAGCATTGCTAACCTTTTGCTGTATGGATGATTTACTTTTAATAAATAATATTTGAAGGGGAGAAGTACAAATTAAAAGAGCTTATCATAAAAGGAATCAACTTTTTACTAGTAACACGTGCATATTACCAAATTCTTAAATCTGATGAGAGATTCGCAAAAGGTTTTGAAGCTTCAAAAATAATTATCAAAGAAAATAGTCCTTCAAAAGATAGCCTACTAAAGCTTTGGTGTCTTTTCTTTAATTTAAAGATGATGGGGAGGGAGGAGGGGTTATTGCTGTATTGGCTGAAAGGTAAGTAGGAGCAGCTGCCTCCTCTGGCATATCNTATCTGTGAAATATACGTCATCTCTGGACATTCTGAGTGCACAATGTCCCTTATAATTTTTTTTTGATCTATGAATGAGCATTTGATGACATATTCTTTTTCTTTTCCCCCTATCTGTATCCATCAAAAAAATGCTACTGGTACTTTCCATTGCCAATATCCTATTTATCATGTATGATTCTACGGCTATATTGTGAGTCGGGGGCCAAGGCTCCGACTGGACCTGGAGCCCGAATAAATCTTCCGATGAGGGGTTTAAAGGGACTGGAAGAGGAAGGCCCCATAATGGTGCCTTACAATTGGCGAGGAAGGCCCCATAATGGTGCCTTACAATTGGCATTTAACTGCTAACCTGATTTCTAGTATGTATATCTGTTGAGAGATCTATTTTGATGTGGCATGGATGCAGTGATATCTTGCATGAAATGCCAACGGTCAATGAATGAAAATTGCTTTTGATCTTTCATCCTATTTCAACTAATTATGTATTTGGTTTTTGGCAGGTTACCCTGGTAAAAATGGTGAATGAAGCCACCGCTAACCTTCCAAACTGGGGTTCTTAGAATGGTATTGTGATTGAAGCTGTTTCACATATGCAACATGTATGATGAGTTCATAATTTGTACTTTCTATACCAATGTTGCATACAAGAAAATCTTATTTCCTCACTTCTGGTGGTAAATTGCATATCCCCTATCACTTTTGTCAGAGTATCTGAAACTTCTTCTATTATGGCTGCAGTTCCAACTGTCTCTATCCAGTAGGTTTACGTACCACAGTGTATAGTTGCAAATCTTATCCATGTGCAGTAGGTTGCTATGTAGAAACTATGTAGTTCTTGAGTTTACTAGTTGCAGCTCTTCTCATTGCTATATAAACTAGTATCTAATGACAAATGATGGGATATCTTAAGTTTGCTGTTATTCGTTACTTTCAGTCTAAACAGGATCTTACCCGTACAGCAAAAATCTGGATAACTTAAAGGTTTTCCTTGTTATTATCAATTTATAACGCTGCAATATATAATTCTTCTGCATTCATTCTGTTCTATTCAAGTCAGAGCTCATCAAACTGAAACTGTCTTTATGCTGACCATCACTATATCACAACATCAACATTCCTTGCGAAACTCGCTTAGGTGGAGTTAGGAGCCTCCCTGTTAGTCCTAAACAAATTTTCCAGGCAATGAAATGGTCCGTTAAATAAGACTCTGTGTTGTCAAATTTACAGCATTGATTAATCACCCGAGTTCACTTAATCTGATTGTTTGTTCAACTTGATTATTAGGCAGTAAACACTGCATTTTTAAGCTCAATTCGTGATGCAATTTTATTTGTATTTTGTACAATATTTGCTGGAGGTGAACTTATACGTATGATCAGTGAAGATTTATATAACCACCCTAGCTTATTTACAATTGAGATACTGTTATTGTTGGGATATGGACTTAGCAATGTTGCAAGTAGGACTTGTTTGGTGCTATAACTTAAATCACAAGAAACCAAAAGACGGGGTAAGAAGCTGCAGATCTAGATGTTAACACAATAATGAAGTATTTATTTACATACAAATTTACAAGATATAACATTCGTGAGGACATTGGTGCAGAGGCCAAAGAATTACATCCATTTACTTCAACTGGTTCCCAGATAAAATTCGGTCGAACAAGTATCAAGTTCTGTCAGTTTAAGTACTGCCGGCAATTCTTCGAATTGCAGTAGCAGGGGATTTTCTTGCCTTCATCTTCATGGTTGAAGTTGTAGTCATATGTAATCTCTTCTCCAGGATAGATGTCTCTCTCGGCAAAAAATACTACCTGCATATTGATCAAGGTTTAGTATTTTAACTTCTAGTTTTAGTTATCAACATACTAATTATATGTTTAAATGGAAAACTGGGAAGCATAACTATGCAATGTAACAAAAAATAAGTGAAAAGAAAAGTAGAGTGAGATGTGTCTACCTTCTTCTCATTCCTCACAGAAATGATTCTGGCAACGCAATTTGGCTGGTAAAAGAAATTGGCAAAAGAACAAAAGCTGAGTCCATCGTGGATCAATCAAACTGACATCAATCTTTTATTTTTTTTCTCTTGAAAGAAAGCATAAATTACATGAGAAGTACTAAAGCAGAGACGAAATAATAATCAAAATTGGTTTGCGAAAGAGTTGGCACTGTAACATAATTGGACATGACAGCAACAGGACAATATTGCTACAGTAGACACTTACCATGCATGAATGGTTCACGAATCGAGCAATCCCTCCCTTTTGGGTTGCATCGACTATATGCTCTTGATCAATCCTAAAGAAGTAACAAGCACTCTTATACTGCAATTTCTTTCCTGACAGGTAATCTATTTCTCTTTTGTCAGCCACACGGAGCCCCACTATCTCACCCACATATTCAACAACCTAGAGGTAAAACAAGAAAGTTAAATTTGCTGATGAGAAACATATAAATTCAGAGGAAGAGTGGAGGCAGATGAGACCATTTCGCCTTGTGAAATAAACCTAGATGTGTAAAGACCAAGCGCGTGAATGCCAGATTTGTATACAACCAAACTCTTCCACCCTTTGGAGTGTTTATAGCGAGCATATTCCTTCTGGAAACATAAAGAGTAACAAAAAAGTAAGAACATCAGTAACTGAATTCAAAGCACACAAGAACTTAAAAGCCACACTTGACTTGTCAGTTGGACCACTATAGGGTTTAACGATTCAGCACAATGTGCCTTGTCAAGCAACCAACTGTTACTCGGACATACCCGATAATCATATTCAGCATCTTTAGGTGGAAGCCTTGAAACCTCTTTTCTAGATCGCTTTTGTCCGGTTATGTGAATTCAGGCATTTAGCTGCTCCTGGGCAACAAGGCATCCACCACCAGACTCAGAATACTGAGGAAAATTATACCGCACTCCTTCCTTTTTGCGACCCTTGTATCCCTGAAGGTAGAACAAGTCTTAGAAAATCTTTAATTCAGGAGTTCAGTACATCTAAACTATTATTAAGAAACAACAAACCTCAGTTCGAGCACAAGTAGAACCTCCTTCTCCTGGATGAATGCCTACAGTACCAACCAGATTTTTGTTAGATACATGTCCCTTGAGCATTTAACCTGGTTCTGAAAATCATACCTTCAAGTTTCGACTCAAAAAGGCCTCGTTTGTGAATCTCCTTAGACTTTGGCTTCTGTTGAGTTGGCAGAGAATCATCTGCAATATTACCAGTTTTTACAAGGCAATCATACCTTCTCTTCTCTAGAGAGTAGAATAAACCAGCCCCTAGTTCATCTCCATAGCAATTATCCAATTCACTAGATGTCAAGAGATGACTTTTAGATTTTTTGGCAGTTACAACATGATGCGCATTGCAGCTCCCATCTTTCTTGAGATTCCAAGAATTGTTCACGCGTTGATGTTTTCCTTTTGCACTTGCCTTCCTGAATTTTGCAGAAGTCATTTTCGCAGTGTAGTTTCCAGAGAAGCTACACTTTGCCAATGAATCACAAATTTCTCTCAGAGAAACAAATTTAACTGGTTTTGATGGATTGCCATTAGAAATTACACCATATTTCCCACACACTATAGGTCTCACTTCCCTTCTAGAAACCTTCCCATGCATCTCAGAAGACATAGAGGTATCTACCAAACTGCACCTAGCTACTGCTTCATCACCTAGATTAACTTCCTCGTCTATCTGCCTAACATGTGTTGCAGTATCCAACTTCGGCCTCTTTCCTCTTGGTAATTCACAAGTTACAAAGGTATCATCATCACCAACCTTCAAAAGATCTGACTGAATACCAATAGTTTTTCCTTCATGGCAATTAACTTTGCTATTACAAGAAAGAGTATTCAATGAACGTATTCTGAACCTCCTCTCTCTGAAACTTGGTTCTATGGAATATGCACATTCTTCTGCACTGCCATCATCAGATGGGAGGGCAGTTTTTTTATACTTGCACGAATGACATTGTAGTCCAGCACAACAAGTGCCCTCTGGATAGCCACAAGCAGAGTAGACGGCAGGAAATGTTGTATCCAACTTTTTCCACTTGGTTCTTTTTCTAATCACTTTATTGGATATATCAGCCACTTTCTGAATACTACGGCTCTTTTCCTGAATGCTGAACCTAGAAAGGTTCTGTATTTTGTTCACTCTTAAGGAATCCCTTAGTCTAAGTTCGTCAATCAGACTACGAGAAGAATTATCAGCAAGCCTTTTGGATGGCCCTGCATCTATGGGGTTGAATTCGCAAGCAACACCGAAGAACTCTGCACTTTGTTCACTGCACTGCACATCATTAGATGACCAGCATCTGTCGATTCCTGATCCTTCATCTACTGCAGCATTAGTTGCCACAGTATTTTGACCATCAGCAGTAGAGAAATATTTGTCATGAATCACAGCAGATACCTCAGTAACAACAGGCGTAGATCCTCCAGATGAAACATTGGACATTTCTGGCTCCTTTAAACATTCAACATTTTGAAAAGCTACAGCACAATTGGGTATTTTTCCACCAGTATCTGCACTTTGTCCCCTCATTTTTTCATTCACGGTCAGGAAACTTCTTGTCTGTTCCTTACATGTCAGACTAACTGCTCCTGTCACCTTTTTGGGAACATCTCTCCATTGAGAAGAGTGACACTCCATTTTGTTTATCTTATGCCCCATTAAATTACTATTTTGTTCCAAAGAGGCCACATTCTCCAAGGGAAACTTCTGACTGTCATTCAACTTACAAGCAAATAAATTCTTCTTAATGCAGCCAGAAACTCCTCTCTGTTCTATCCGAGTAGTATGCGGAGGTTCACCAATGAAACAATGTTTTTCAAGGGAAGTGTCTGGCTGAACAGCACAGCTACAGCGGTAAGACATAAACGAATTTGGGACCACCTGAAAGCATTTTGCTTGCTCAACTGAAGGAGTAATATTGCTTTCAGAATCTCCATGTCTAAGATCGTGTAAAATCAAGAAATCAATCAGCACGAAAATTTGAAGGATGAAGAATAAGAATAAGATCAACTCAAATGCATGAAAACAGACATGAGCATTGAAAGAACAACAGATACTGATTCTCATTGTTACAGTTATAGTTCTCAAATAACTTTTATTTGATACAGTAAACTCAATTTCCCAAACCCCCCTTACCTTGGAATCCAACAGTAGTCCTTTCCCACTTTGTTCCCTAAGTGACTCAAAACCTAACTTTATGGTTAGAAATAGAGGGTCTTTACCAATAAGCATTCCCTTGTATATGATTCTCAAATAACTTGAAGGATATATTATATGGGCCTCTCCAGATTGCATCATTTTTTTGAAAAGGTAAGTTATATATTAAAAAGAGGAACAGCTTGGCACCAAGATGGTGCTAACACAGTACAAATATCAGAAACCCTTCAGTACAAAACAAAAAAGAATGATTCATATTGTGGAAGTCCGATCCTTGTAAAGATTCAATGAAATCTATCATGCTATCATCCCCATCCTTTACATCAAAAAGCCAAAAGCCATACACATTTGTATTTAAGCTCTTGTATGCTATCAATCTTCCCTTTGAAGCATCTGGCATTCCTTTCTTTCCATAGAACTAGATTGCATCCTTCAAGGATCCTCCTTTCTACTTTGAAGTAAAAAGTACAAATATTTCCAATGGACAATGGGTTCATAAATAATTTGCATCACTCCAACCACTACCTTAAGGTTTTGGATTGGATGTGCTTAAGTTCTTTCATATGATTTAAGAACAGATAGAGTTCTACAATCCAAGTCTCACTGTAGTCCATCAACAAGAGTATTTCCATGTTCTTGGCGCTAGAAGAAAAAGATCAGGGTCACACATAAGCGGGGGAGGGCATGCTACAGACCTAATAAGATTAATCATAGCCTCCTCTCGGACATTTTGATTTTTTTAGATGAGTTAGTTTACATAATTCAACAGGGTATCAGAGCTAAACTTTAGCAAGCTTATTATCACATTCATATGTCCACATTAAAGTTTACATGTAAACTCCAGAGTTGGATTACACGTGCTGGTTGTTGATTTATATAAAGTTCACATAAGATCCCAGTGCTTTATGATTAATATCATTGCTTTATGATTTTTGGTTAGATAATCATATTCTTTTTTTAGATTTTATTTTGGAGAATGTCACTAATGTGCTCCCAGAAGGCCCATATCAATTCTTTTTTTCCTTTTTCTTTTTTTTGACACAAATGAATTTGGTGCCACCTGATAGCATTTTGCTTGCTGGTTCTCAACAAAGATTTCCAATCATCTACACTGGTTGGAATATCATGACCTCTCGAGATACAGAATAGAAGATCCATATTTATTACTTGTGGCCCTCAAACTTCATTAACTTCAAGATTCTTTTCACGTATGCTTTCCAAAGTTAAAGTCATAAACACAAGAATTTTATTTTTTTGAAACCTAAACACTAGTCCGTACAATTTTAAAGATACATTACCAACAAACTATTTGGGAAAACAACATTTTGCATTTTTTTTTAAGCAGTGGCATACCAGCCAGCTTGAGTGCACCTCCCACCAACACAGGTACTAGGTGACTTTGTCAACTAAGGGCCTAAGGCTTAGGCGGATGGGAAGAAATCACCTAGTGTTTTTTGTCTTTGTTGGCATTTGAACCCTAGTCTCCAAGGTTTGCACCCCACTTTATTGACCACTAGACCAAACCCTTGGATGCTTTTTGCATCTTATCTTCGTTATCTTTTAAAAGGAAATAACCTGATACTGCATTAAGACAAATTAGTATATCTGGAACTACTTCAGAAAATGCTCAATATACTACCTCTACCCAACTTAGGCGACCTTATTGGTTTAAACATCCTTATTAAGATGACATCAGAGTATTGCAGTAAAGAGAGAAGTGGATACTGGAGACAATGTTATTTATGAAAAGTTTGAAACTTTCTTAAAATCCAAGTGGTCCCATAGTATTTTTTCTGTTCTATATAATCTGGGAACAACCCAAGAGGAAAAGGATAGTTATTTGGGAGAGAGGGAGTAGTACATACTGAATCTCTGTATACAACAAATTAAATATCTTCCAGGGTGACTCAGGCCAAGAGCAAAGTTATAACCTAACATCAACACTAACAGACAGAATTGATTACAAACCATGTAAAAGCAAGGTTACAGAAAACGTTTCAAGAGAGTTACCTAAGGTAAGGCCAGTGAACTGCAGTATAATCAGTGGAAAGCTGACAGTGCAATTCTGAGTCTTGAGCATGCAGAGATCCTCCATGTGAGAGAGCTGAAAAATTGCAACCTTCAAGCAGATCTGTATGGACATAAACTTCCTCTTCATTACAATAACAAATCAAACAAGATACAAAGAATAACTGAAACAGAAACAGCAGTGCTTTACCAGTATTAGGTGCTATAAGTTGACTATGTTTTCCCATGTAATCACTAACCGCAGGGAAGGCAGATACAGCTGCAGTCTTAGATGCATGCGGCGCATTTGCGACATTGGGTTCATATAACTGGTTTATGGATGTTGGCGCTCTGCCAAAGGGATTCCTGCATAGCACATGCTCTTTGGTGGCTATGGTAGAGGAACTAACAGGCACCGGAGTAGGAAATTCCAACCCCCGTTGCAAGGTTTGCATTCTTGGATTCTCAGTGAGTTCAATCGGCCTTCCATTCAAGCTCTCTTTGCCAGATGACTGTAGAGTTCGATTTCCAATTAGAGTTGAACTTGATAATGGAAACTCCAACGTAACTGCCTGAGATGCTGGAGCTGCTCTAGAGTCCATTGATTTACAGACAGATCTGATACTACCATTATCAAAGGTTCCATTATGGGAAATTAAGGATGTCTTTCCATACAAATTAAGGGTGTTCTGAGCATCAGGCATATCCATCATCATACCGTAGGGCTTGCACAAGTAAAGGTTCTTCTCATGTAAGGCCAAGCAATTGCTATGACTGATTCCTTCTACAACTCTCTTAACAGTCGTTTTATTTTCATAATACTTGGAGTAGAGTCCAAAGTTTAATTCAGTGGCACCATGTAAATTAGCAATATTGTTGGCCACACCTTTATCACTGTTCCCATGTCCAAGAGCACATGAAGTGTCAACTTTAAATTCCTTATTAGTTATATTACCTCTAGCACAATGAAAATCAGTTTGGTCGCACTTTAGAGTAAAGGATTTACACTGAGGTTCTCCAGGTGGAATATGACTTATATTAACCATATTTTTGGCAGCTTCAGAGTACGGTATTCCTTCTGAAGGACCCTTGAAGCGTGCTTGAAGCATAGGAAATACCGAATCTCTCATTCTGGATTCACCTGTTGCATTGTGGAGTCCATAGGCAGAGTTGACAAGATCCAGCTGGCCCTTTCCACTTCTTGGACTCAAATTCAACATATGAAAATTTGACCTGCTTTCTTCCACTGGACGTGATTCAACTGCTGCACGACACTGACAGGTATAAACTTAAAGGGATATCAAGAACTAGAGGAATAAATTCACAAATAATAACAGACCTTTATGCATAAGGGTCTCTGGAAACAATGATTGTTGATACTCCATTGGTTTGACAATTTGATACTCAAAAGATTGTTGAGCTGAAGTTCCAAACTTTTTGCTTTGCTGGGATGGATGCCCAAGTCTCAACTCAATACTTGAGGAGATACTACTCCCATCCATTTGCATTAGCGAACTGTTGATACCAAGAGGTTTTGAAATTTTGAGATCTGGAAGAGAGTTAAAGGTATTTGTGTCCTTAGAGTTTGAACCAATATAAGCTGAAATGAATGAAGAACCATTCTGTGGGTCTCGTATCCCATCTAAGTTTGACAATGTCGGACGCTGAGGGTTCTTTGAAATAAACATATTGTTCCATGACTGTCCAGCTCCACTTGAAGCTCCTAATGCATGAGACTGCTCAGCATTTGGAGATAAATTGGGAAGGGATGGATAAAACTCTCTCAAACCAGTACTCACTGGAAATACTTCAGGCCAGTCCCATCCACCATGATCATCAGGAGCCCTAATCTAAATTATGATAGAAAGATCACCATTCATGGCTCTTGTGCTTCCAATGGATGCCATTAACAAGTACTTTAAATCAATAGACATAATAAAATAGAAAAGCTAGGTTCTTAACGTCTGCTGTAAATAAACTAAACAGAACAAAGTAAAACAATGTAGTGCATGCAACTCTAGACATAGTGGTCTAGCTTGCATCTGTGACGAACATATATGCTAAAACTATAATGCTATATAAGCTTTCAGAAGTAGGTGCACCATAGTCAGACCTTCATAGCAGGCAGAGAACAATTTATCAGGATCTGAAATCCAGTAGTTCATAAAAAGATATTCTTGTAGCTTTTTTCATCAAAATATATAGATAGCTACTAACATATAATTTAAGTGGACAACATATAATCAAACAAAGAAATAAGTGGAAGTTTTTCTAAGTTGACTGTACCAAGGTTACCATATAGAGTGATTCTAATGAATTGCAAATTGACCTTCTACCTTCCCGGAGATGATAAGAAAGCAATTTGGAACGTTAAATTTAGTGATCCAAAGTATTATCCTTCTCTTTCACAACTTCGCAGCAACTTTCTGTTTCCAAATTCTCCTTCAATCAATCAATTATGTTCAATGCCAATTAGCTCCTAAATCTCCTTAGAAAAGTTTCTATCAAGGTTTCTAAAGCAAATGAAGATATAATCAAAAGATGACAACCCGAGCAGACTATGTTTCCCATTAAATAGTGAACGCAAAATCCTGACCATTCCATGAACCACAAAATTGATCTACATGTCAGGTAACATTGAAAGGGACCCCCTCCCACAGTTATTATCATGAACATAACCTAAATTGATTACACAAATACAAAGACATTTCAAAGAATGTAGCTACCAAAATTAAATAATAGCACGGATTTCGAGGCATAGAAGAAATAGATGTTAGATACCTCACATATTCCTTACCCCTAGTTCTTGGAAGAAGACCTTCCGCCAATGAGCTATGGTTACACCACTGTCCATACAAACAGCATTCCCAGGATTAACATCAGATAAACCAGAATGCTGCACAAAAGATAGAACTTCAAACAGTTATAAAAAAAAGTCTTCAAGTAATAGACAAAAGAAAGATATGGAAATATCAAGTACTCCAACAGAAGTGCATTTTCATCCAAAGACTGCTGAATCCAAAAAAAGAGATTTCAGAATAACTACCTCACAGAACCTAGAAATAGACATATGTGAACCATGGCACAAGCAAATAACTCCAAGAAGACCAGTATCCCTGAGAACCAGGTATCCACCTGCATTCAAGACCAAAATACTAATTAGAACATATGAAGATAGTATTGATGAAAAGTCAAACTAACTAGTGGGTTACTCACTTAAGCCCAAGCAGAACACACGGGGATAGCTGCTCAGCGCTGGAGACAACTGCCCAGAAGATCCTGTTTCCAGAAAAACCTTTCTAGATGTCAGAATACCAGGTATGTCATTGAACTTCATGGCACTATTTGGGATTGATTCTGCATCGGAAGTCCCTCTTGGAAAAGAAAAATGCTTTAGTTTCTCATTACCAACATAATGGGATGGAGCAGTTGGCTTAGCCATTTCATGTCTTGGATGGTTTATTACAGCAGTTGGTTTAAGAGTATCTCCAGCTTTTAACTTGTGGCTGCTAAAATATTGTGACAATTCCACAGCAGGTACAAGCACTGGTCCATTGGTAGAAGCAGATCCATTGGCATTGTTACGATTTATTGGCTTTTCATTCAGCATGAAGACTGATTTTAAATTTGATGATTGCTGAAACTCCCCTTGTAAAGAGGGCAGCGGACCAGAAAGAAAAGATATGAATGAACCACTGAACTCAGTGGGATTAGAGTTATCCACAACTGAATTTGAATTCCATGGAAGAGTAGACTGCTGTACTATTCCATTTCCCAGTGACACTGAATCTTGAGGAATGCTTGAGTAAAAATGTTGACCTGCATTAGGAAACTACAGTAGGGGGTAGGCAGTGAGAAGGACAAACTAAATATAGAAAAATGAGAACAATCTACAAGATCCAGTATAACAAAAAAAAAAATTATGGTAATATTTGTCCAGTATAACAAAGATAGAAGCCACTTGGAAAGGGAAAACCTCAAACAACAAGGAAAAACAATGTTTGATAGGCATGTATATTTTGTGCACCTATAGCTGATGGAAAAACTTTGCTACAAAACAGTGGCTCAAACGACATCTAATTACAGCACCCAGAAAGAAACCCTTTAGTGACATCAACTATCTGAGCATCATTCATAGCATAGTTTGCTTTCATTGATCAACAAACCAAAATAAGTCTCTGAAGAATTTCATCTAATTCATCTACATTACACAAATATATTCCCAATGCTTTCTGTAGTTTTCGGAACACTCATTTTCCATAGAAAACTTTTCTCAGTCCATTTTTTCCACTTAGAAAAGCCACTTCATTATGATGCAAAAGAGGTGCCAGCAATTTAACTATGTAAGAATCGGTGACCCAAACTACAAACCTAGTGTCTAATCATAAACATGAAGATACTAAATGAAATACAATTTACAACCTCCACTCAGCTTGAACTCATCCAAAAACACTCTTCCTTTGATGCAATAGCAATACAATTCTTTCCATTTTCTATTTCAATAAAATGAAAACGTAATATGTGGCACGCACTTGTTTCCTATTAACTCTAAAAGATGTAGATATCTCTCAATGCTCATGTCAAATCTAGACAAAAATGCTGGATTTGTTACAAGGTCTTTTTTCTAAACTCATCATGTAATTCAAGGAGTAAAAACGAGGGCTTTTTTACTTTTGGTAATTAAAGGAAGGCTTTCTTCATATCTTCCAAAGATTTGCACCATAAAATCTAATTTGCTCAATCTGGACTACACCCCCTATGTACTCTACTCGTCTAGTTACATGCATTTTTCAGGAAATGGTAAGATTCATAAACAATAAATACAAATTACAAAAAGCTAATTAACCCATCACATTCACCACATTTTCCTCCAAAGGTACACGCATTTCACAGAATAAGCTAAAATTAACATGCAAGCAAGAAAAACGCAAAGAAATTATTATTAAATTATAATTATCAACCAAAAAAATAAAAAAGAAAAACCTGAGAATGGGAATCCGGGAGTGATGAAGAAACAAGTGGTGGAGACGTTGACTGCCACATTGACCCACATTTCCTCTGCCAACAATTATCCATCTCTTTAACCCTTTAAAACCCTATCCTTTCTCCATCAAAAACTTCTCATAAAAAAATAGTTCAACAAATAAAACCCATGTTCTAATCAAAACCAAATCCAAATAAAAAACCACACTTCTCATGAACTAAAAAAAAATCAAATTCAACCCAGTAAATCAGTAGAAAATATTAAAAATTCACAACGCAGAATTAGTAGTATTATCTGTGTATAAAGAAGGGGCACAAATGATGGGGGAAATTCAAGAAGAGGAGGGTAGTGACAATAGCATTAAGCACTGATAATGCGATTGGGAAATGGATTGGGCGAATATGGGCCGTTGGATTGAGGCTTTAGTGGGCCCTGAACCGTTGATTGGGTTTCCAGCTGTTGGAAAAAAAAAGTGAACGAGGAGTCAAGTGACTGAACCCTTGTAAGGTAACAGTTGGCGGGAAAAAGTGTTAGGGGGATGGGACCTACTTGGTTCAGTTGGGTCACGTGACGTATTCATTATTATTATTATTATTATTGGGAGAAGACTGAAACTGATGAGTCAGCACCTGCCATGGCTTGAATGGGCCCCTGTTTGTGTCTTCAATTGGGCCCTACCAAAACTTTGTGTACCAGGCCATCAGGTGTTGATAATGGTCCAATACTTGGTCAGTAGAGCTTATCTTTTCTGAAACTGTACTGTAGCTAGAGTTCCTTTGTTTTTAAATTATAAAGAATTAAAAAATAATAGTAGTTTCCAGCTAGCTAATGCGCACTTTAGTTATTTTATGGAATATTTGTGACTTTCTATTTGCATACGTATCGGGTAATCATATCCATCAAAAATTAGACAAATATAAGGGTGTGTTTGTGGGCTCGAGGGTCACTTCAAGAGCGAAATCGAAATAGACCAAGAACGAGCCCGATGGGAGGCTTCAAAGATCAAAATGTCCGATGACCATCGAGGTCGAACGTGACCGGCCTCAAGATAATGTTGTTACAAGTCTGTTACAGAAGGACAAGATTCCCGCCACGTCCCCAAGATCGTGGCGGGAATCCCGAAATTTATTCGTACGACCTAGTACGAATTCATACTAGGCGATTAGACAGCTGTCACAGTTAGATTCCTTACTGTAAATAGAAATGTACCTTATTTAGGGTTTCCCTATTATATAAAAGAAACTTCAATCATCCGTAAACATCACCTAAACATTGGCAAAGAATATACTATCCCGCTTTTCTCTCTTACTGTTCATCAGAATTGTCCTTTTATCTTTATTGCTCACTTTACTATTCTTGGTTCATCTCGAGGTCGCTACTGCCTACTAACTTATCTACTGGTTTGATCTTGCCTATTTTCCTTCATTTATACTTCATGTTTCTTGATTATTAATTGGCATTGAACTAAATCACATCTTTAAAACCGCAAATCAAATTTAATTGTTACTCGCATTTTCGAGGTAAACAGTTTGGTACAAAGAAAAATGTTTTTCATGGAAAATATTTTGTTAAAATTAGTGATTTTATCACTCATTTTTCCTTGTTTGGTTGGTGAGTGGAAAACTTTTTTTCGAAAAATATTTTATAGTATTTGATTAGAGAGTATAAAATATTTTTGGGAAAATAATTTTTTGTGCTACTCTCCTCAACCCGCCTTCCCCAAAATCCACATGTTTCTTGTACTCCTCCCCCCC